TACAAAACTACCCCCCCAGATAATACCCCCATTAGATAAATCCTCCCCAGGAAAGCTCGCAACCCCTGAAGACGACCGGAACAGATCCTCCTTTTCAAACCCCCGAGCCTCTAGCAAGAGTGAAGTGTAATCTACATACTCAAACCTGTTGCTCCCAGGCGTTACCACCTTCAAAGAGGCGATGTCTTCCACGGATGGGACGAGCCCTTTTGCCGCCAGGGCCTTTGACAGATTGGCCAACGTCGGGGGGAGGTGCTGGCTGTGGGTGGAGAGGAAGGTCGACACGAGGCTGAGGGCGGAGTGAAGCTTGGCGAGGTGTTGGAAGTAGGAGGGGAGGGGTCTGTCGGCCTCTTCTGGGGGCGATGACCGTTTTGATTTGAGTTGGCGTTTTCGTTTTGGTGGTGGTGGTGGTTTGGTGTCATTAAGGTCTGATCCTGGTGGTGGTGATGATGATGGTGATGATGATGGTGATGATGATGGTGATGGAGTCGCTTCTTCAGCAACAGCTTTTGGAGGCCGGCCTCGTTTCCTTTTCAGAGCCCCGCTGCTCTGGGGGTTATCCCCGTCTCCTGATGGCATTATGCGAACTTCAATTTGATGTTGGTTGTGAGACTGAACCCAAACCTCTCAGATCTCAGATCTCTCAATCAAAGAAACGTCGTCGCGCTCCCAAGTGGCAAAAGGTGTGTGTCACTAACAAAGGCCCCCCAAGCGCGAAAGAGACAGGAGAGCACGTGCTGTTTTCCCCTTAGCAACCCCACTAATTATCGACTTCCCAAACCCCCCTAGAGACCGTCACCATAGCAATCAATCCCACTCAAAGAGGACACCACAAATATATTCACTACCCCATCTAACTAGTTTTCCCCATTCCAACCATCTTGACAAAACAATAAACAAACACCTCCCACCAAACCCAGGAAGCCGCTGACTTTCCAGTTCCCATTCGATAGAGAGAGAACTCGACACAAATCCAACCCGGCATTATCCGCCAAGTATCAATCACACACAACCTAAACAAACAAAAGTCCGCCGTCTTATTTCCCCCCCTTGCCAAAGAACCCCCCAGAAATGCATCCTCATTGTAAAACAACCCCCCCCCCCCCCCTTGAAAATGCCCAATCGTGAGCCGCTGAATAAAATTTAAAAAACGTGGACGAAACAAAAAAAAAGGGGAAAAAGTACGTCAAAGTTGTCGTTGTTGCATTTGCAAAGTCGCATGCCTGCCTGCCTGGTTGTTCAGATCAAATTACACAACCTAGATTGAAAAGAACATCTCAAACCCTTTCAGACGTCTGCAAGGCCCTTCTTTAGCATTTCCACCAGGTCCGAGAACAGATCCGCGTTGGCGTTACTGAGCTGAAGTAGATTGTCAGTATGAGCTGGTTGATCATAAACATCAAACAAAAACTAACCTTCATCTGTACCAACTGCGCCTCTCCATTCTCAAATGCCGTGAACAACACCGTCGCCGCCTTGAGCTTCTTCTCAATCTTGAACTGCATCGCTGGCAGCACAATCGTGTTGAGAATGACCCTCAGGGTGTGGTCCTGGCGCATGATCAAGCGTACGTTCTTAGGTCCGCTGTAGTCTTTGTCTTCCAACACCGAGGCGTCAAAGCTGGTCGCGTCTGGGGAGCCGTCGTTTTCAAACTCGACCGTCGCTCTTGGCACATTGACCTTGAGCATGCCGGCACCTCTCTCTTTCCACCCAACTCCCTTTTCCATAACATACATCTTGGCGCGTTGGGAGAAGAGTGTGACCTCTGAGCTCTCGCCATCGTCGACCACGACTGTGTAGGTAGTGTTACCAGAAGAATTCATGATAAATGGCCGTGAAAATGACTCACTCTTATGTAGCTTCAACCTCTTCCTCTCACTCTCTTCCTTCTCATCATCCTTGTTCTCCTCCTCCCCATCAGCAACAGCACCCTCCCCATTCTCCTCCTCGCCGTCCTCGTCCTTCTCGCTCTCCTCCGCGTTACTTTCTGGCGCACCAAAAGGCTTGGCCGGCTTGCCACTCTTAAGGGCCTCACCAGGCTTGCCAAAGTTGGTCAACCGAGCACCGCCACCAGACAAAGCGCTAGCACCACCAAAGGCACTTCCAAAAGGACTCGACTTGAACACCGACCCCCCGCCAGTCTGTCCGTTAAGCGCCGACGCAAAAGGTGACGCCGTCGAGGTCGAGCTAAAGTTCAATTTGGCCGGAGCAGCGGGTGTAGATCCACCAAGAACGCTCCCGAAAGACGCAGCCGTCCCAGCCGATCCAAACACACTCGGCTTCCCAGCACCAGCAGACGCAAATGGCGAGGCTCCTGACGCAGCCGCAAACGGCGAAGCAGACGATGCTCCCAGCTTGGCAAATCCTGACGAGGCAAAAGCAGACGTCGAGGTAGTTTGCGGCTTATCGATCGGTGAACGCACGGTAGCCGTGTTGGCAGGTCGGCTCTTAGCCAGCTCCTCCATGCTCGATCGTGGGGAGGCACTCGCCGACAACGGCTCCTAGATCAAAACAAATCTTGTGTTACCATCGGGTGTTGCCATAGATTGAGTCGAATGGAGGGGTAAAAGGGGGTGCAGATTGTGAGTGACATCGGACCTCGGAGAGACAGCCCCAGGGGGGGAGAAAACGAGAAACAAGAAATAAATAAATAAATAATAAAAAAAACCTACCACTTCTTCCTGTCCGCTCTTGACAGCAGACGCGCTGGCCTGGCGATCCCGTGGTCTCTTCTTCTCGGGCTCGGATCGGTTTGTACGGTTGAGCGTCACAGCTGTGTTGTTCTTGCTGTCGTTCGCGGCAGACCCTTCCCCTTCCAAAGGAGCCTCGGCCACATCCTTGTTCTCGTCCAACTCGGCATGCGCTCGCTTCTTCTTGGGGGACGAGATCTGCTCGGCCAGTGTTTCGTCGCTTGGGACACCAAGGGCCACTGGCGGCGTGACCTTGCGAGCGCCGGCAGTAGTCGTCTTATCTTTGGGCGCATCATCATCGTCAGAGGCGCTCTTGTCGTCTTGAGAGGTCGATAGCTGCCCCGCCTTTTCAGAAATGGACGTCTGCTTCAGCTCTCTTCTCGTCGCCGTGGTCTCGGCATCTTCCTTAGCAGCGCCTGCCTCGACTTGGTCCGAGATGTCGCTCGTGTTGTGCGGGTCGTCGGCCATGATGTCAGTGGGCCGTTGGCAGTTGTATCGTTTCGGTCTACTATCTCGGGGTGCTCGGAAGCGGTGGGCAATCGGGAGAGGTACAGGTAGTAGGTGGACTTTTTCAAAAGTCGGCCGCTCGGCTGAGAGATAATGTTCCAAGACACTGCAGGATACCTTATGGGTAGGTAATTCTGTCGGTAAGATGGCGCGCACTAGTGGTACCTGGTAGAACAGACAGTAGACAAATGTCGTAAGTGACGAGAGAAAAAGGTGCTATGGAAAAAGGCAATATCGGAATTTTGATTTAGGTCTGGACTGGATATTGCGGAGTTGTAGCACACGTTAATGCCTGTTGTTGCGCTTGGGTCTTGGGAGCGAGGGGGGGTCTCGGGAGCATGTCGCACCCTCTGGAGCCAGGCGTTGGGGCGATTGGTTCAGAGGAACCCACCCGCTAAAATGAGCAGCCCTTCATGTACCCAGGTACCGGTTTGGCTCATCCAACAGTGCTCGCCAGTGGGGTTTGGGTGCCAACGACAGTGACAAAACACAGCCAATCACCACCGGACGCATGTTCGCCATTTCATTACTTGGGACGCATGGCCCTGTATCATCATCCTCTTTCTTTGTGCGTTGTCCCAATGAGGAAAAAGGTAAATATCATATCAATGCGGTCTGCCTCACTACAATAGAATCAACTCATTACGCAGTATATATATACCCTATCATGAAACATGTCCCTATCCGCTGCTTGGTATTAGTTCCGTCCCTTCATCCAAGAAAACGCCATATATATAAAGGAACCCAGCTTCTGTCTTGGTCAATCATATCTGCCGCCGCCTTTGCTCAACGCTGGCAACAAGATCCTCCACCAACCCAAAGGCATCCCTAAAGGCGGCCAACTCTTGCGACATACTCACACCCTCCAGGCTGTCAACCTCTGACGGACTCCGGGTCCCTGCAAGAGTGTCACTCTCACTTAAACTAGGAGCATATCTCTGCCTAGCAGCGAGATCTTGATCTCTTAGCTGCCGTTCCCTGTCTTCCTGACCAGCAGTGGGCCTCGGGACAGTGTAGATCCCATCTGCGACCATGCCTTCGCTCTCGCTTTCGTACCCAGGCTCCGGAACCCAAGTCTGCACCCTCCTTTCAGCCTCCTCCTGTTGTTGATAATGCGGTCGCGGGATATCATACACAGTGGTTCCAGTCACACCATCCTCGCTCCCACTATCACTCCCAATCTCAAACCTCGGCTCTTCCCACGGAGGAACAGCCTCCTCATTACTCTCCCCATCCGCATGCTCCCCAAACCCGGCCAACTTTTCCCTCTCCTCAACATTCTCCTCCCCTCCCCTCCACCTCCACCCACAGCACCCCCGTCGTCGTCCACCCAACCTCTCCCCATCCCCTACCCCCTTCCCATCCCTCATCAACCCCCAACTTAACACCCCCAACCCTACCCCAAAAACAATAACCAACACCTCCAGCACCCCCGAATTCAAAACCTTTATCCACCCCGGCGGACGATATATTCCCTCCCTTTCCCCCCTCACAGTCGTCCCCCAATCACATTCCCGTTCTCAGGTCCCATTGCCTCGGTCACTAGTGCAGTGATAACAAATCGAAGAGACAATACAACGACCAATACACGCTCTTACAACAAATACTTATCCCATCATTGCAACACTTGTTATTGTTACAAAAAAAACGAAGA